TATTCCTACTCTGTCTAGAGTTTGTCCTTGTGATTTATTAATAGTCATCGCAAATACTGGCATCATGGGAAATTGTCTTCAAATTAATTTAAATGGGAGAGTAGTGTCAGATGGGGACAAATCAATTCTTGGAATCAGAACAACCTCTCCTTCCACAGATCCTGTTAATACTTCAGCTTCGATTATGTTAGGTTGCAATCTTTTGATAATAAATCTAGTACCATTACAAAGACCCCATTTACTATTAAGATTTCTCAGTAGAGAGGTCAGAGTGGGACCATCCAGTTTGCAGCTCCGTGGAACCATAAAGGACACACTCAGGGGGCAGACTCAGTGAGCACCAAAGCCCCATTGAAGCAAGTCTTGCCCAGGAGGGGTGTTTCCAGCACAGACGAACTCCCACTGCAGACACAGCTGATTCTCACAGCCAATTGGCCTGGAGGTCAATTCCTCCCAGTGATACCTACAACAATCAAGGCTTAACTACAACAAGACTGTGCACAAAGACCACAAGGGGGTGCACCAAGAGTGTCCTCCTCGGGTAATTGGGGAGGCTGAACCACTGGGCCCTAGAGGACACTTAGCACAGAAAACCACAGTATCAACACAGGGAAGCATAAAAAATGCGGAGACAAAGAAAAAGGACACAAATGGCAGAAATGGAGGAAAGCAAACTACTGGATATAGAGTTCAAAACCACACTTATAAGGTTTTTCAAGAATTTTCTAGAAACTGCCGATAAACTTAATGAGATCTACAAGAAATCTAATGAGACCCTCGAGGTTGTGATAAAGGACCAACTAGAAATTAAGCATACACTGACTGAAATAAAGAATATTATACAGACTCCCAACAGCAGACTAGAGGATTGCAAGAATCAAGTCAACGATTTGAAATACGAAGAAGCAAAAAACACCCAACCAGAAAAGCAAAATGAAAAAAGAATCCAAAAATACGAAGATAGTGTAAGGAGCCTCTAGGACAGCTTCAAGCGTACCAACATCTGAATTATAGGGGTGCCAGAAGAAGAGAGAGAGCAAGATATTGAAAACCTATTTGAAGAAATAATGACAGAAAACTTCCCCTACCTGGTGAAAGAAATAGACTTCCAAGTCCAGGAAGTGCAGAGAACCCCAAACAAAAGGAATTCAAAGAGGACCACACCAAGACACATCATAATTAAAATGCCAAGAGCAAAAGACAAAGAAAGAATCTTAAAAGCAGCAAGAGAAAGAAAGTCAGTTACCTACAAGGGAGTACCCATACAACTGTCAGCTGATTTCTCAACAGAAATTATGCAGGCCAGAAGGGAGTGGCAAGAAATATTCAAAGTGATGAATGCCAAGAACCTACAACCAAGATTACTTTATCCAGCAAAGCTATCATTCAGAAGTGAAGGTCAGATAAAGAGCTTCACAGATAAGAAAAAGCTAAAGGAGTTCATCACCACCAAACCAGTATTATATGAAATGCTGAAAGGCATCCTTTAAGAAGAGGAAGAAGAAGAAAAAGGTAAAGATACAAATTATGAACAACAAATACACATCTATCAACAAGTGAATCTGAAAATCAAGTGAATAATCTGATGAACAGAATGAACTGGTGATTATAATAGAATCAGGGGCATAGAAAGGGAGTGGACTGGCTATTCTTGGGGGGGAAAGGGGTGAGGGGGATACGAGAAGAGACTGGACAAAAATCATGCACCTATGGATGAGGACAGTGGGTGGGGAGTGAGGGAGGAGGGTGGGGTGGGAACTGGGTGGAGGGGAGTTATGGGGGGAAAAAAGAGGAACAAATGTAATAATGTGAACAATAAAGATTTAATTAATAAAAAAAGTAAAATAAAATAAAGATTTCTCAGTAGCATGATGGTTGCACCTACTTTCAATTTTAATTTATTCCCAAAGGAGTAATTCTATTAAGAAATTCGATGGGAAAATTTTCCATTTTGGCATCATCCGTTGAATAGATGGAATTATCTCTCAAATAGGTGTGAACATCTCCATCGGGTATATCCAAAATTTCTTCATTTAATTTATGAACATGCTCATTTTTAGGACAAAGAATTGCACATTTAGATATATTTTCAATATTATCTATAGATATACGCTTTCCAAAGATAGTTTCAATAATAGATCCGTTACAAATAATTTCATGAGGGATTTCAATAATATCCATTCCTAAATGAAAACTGCTCTTAAGTTTGCCATCTCCAAGTTTTACTAACCATTTGCTATAAGCAGAATCCTCTGATCTCATATTTGTTTTAGAGACAACTATCTGAAACATCCTCAAACACTACAGTATTTTAAACTCGTTTGTACTATGGCCGATCGCATAACATGCAGTACAACACTGAGATGTTGTCGAAAATCCCCTCCGAGAGAAACTTTATATGTATTGTGCATGTGCCAGCCAATGTTTATTTTTAAACTAGAGGCCTGGTACACAAATTCATGCACAGGTGGGGTCCAGCCAGCATGCCCCGATTGGGGCTGATAGGGGCCAGCCAGCCTGGGGGAGGGGATTCAGGAGGTTGGCCGGCTGGCCCTGCCCTCGATGGGGTGTGGGGTGCTGATTGGGGGCCAAGCCAGCCAGGGGGAGGACCCGTGGGAGGTTGGGTGGCCGGCCCCACCCCCGTCGAGCTGGTTGGCTGGCTGCAGTGTGTGTCATAGTGAACAGTTGTTCTGGTCATTCCAGTCGCTTGGCTTTTATATATATACTAGAGGTCTGGTGCACAAAAATTTTGTGCACTCGGGGGGGTCCCTCAGCCCAGCCTATGCCCTCTTGCAGTCTGGGACCCCTCGGAGGATATCCACCTGCTGGCTTAGGCCCGCTCCCTGGGGGATCGAGCCCAAGCTGGCAGTCAGACCTCCCTCTGGCAGCCCGGCAGCCCTCGGGGGATGTTCACTTGCCAGCGGGGAGCATGCCTAAGCTGCAGTCAGACATCCTTAGCGCTGCTGAGGAGGCGGGAGAGGCTCCCACCACCACCGCTGTACTGGCAGCCATCAGCCTGGCTTGTGGCTGAGCAGAGCTCCCCCTGTGGGAGTGCACTGACCACCAGGGGGTAGCTCCTGCATTGAGTGTCTGCCCCCTGGTGGTCAGTGTGTGTCATAGTGACCAGTCATTCCCAGTTGTTCTGCTGTTAGGATCAATTTGCATATTACCCTTTTATTATGTAGGATAGAGGCCTGGTGCATGGGTGGGGGCCGGCTGGTTTGCCCTGAAGGTTGTCCCGGATCAGGGGTGGGGGTCCCGCTGGGGTGCCTGGCCAGCCTGGGTGAGGGGCTGATGGGAGTTTGCAGGTTGGTCACATCCCCTTCTGGGTGGGGGTCCCCACTGGGGTCCCTGGCCAGCCTGGGTGAGGGGCTGATGGCTGTTTGCAGCTGGTCACAACCCCTTCAGGGTGAGGGGTCCCCACTGGGGTGCCTGGCCAGCCTGGGTGAGGGGCTGATGGCTGTTTGCAGGCTGGTCACACCTCCTTCAGGGTGGGGGTTCCCCACTGGGGTGCCTTTCCAGCCTGGGTGAGGGGCTGATAGCTGTTTGCAGGCTGGTCAAGCACCCCCCCAACTGGGGACCCTCACCCCATGGTTGTTTGGCCAGCCTGGGTGAGGGCTGATGCCTGTTTTCAGGATGGCCACACCGCCTTTAGGGTGGGGGTCCCCACTGGGGTGCCTGGCCAGTCTGGGTGAGGGGCTGAAGGCCGTTTTTAGGCTGGCCAAGCCCCCCAACGATGGAAGCTCCCAGCCTCTCCTTTTTTTCTTTTTTTTAAATTCTGGGATTTATTTACCTTCTATAATTGAAACTTTTGTAGCCTTGAGAGGAGCTCAGAGCCGGCCAGGGTGGGCGGGAGGGAAGCCTCCTGCTTGCTCCAGCTCTGTGGCCACGGCCGGTTGAAAGCAGGTATCTGGGGTTTATTTATCTTCTATAATTGAAACTTTGTTGCTTTGAGTGGAGCTCAGAGCCGGGGCCAAGGCAAGCGGGAAGCTTGGTTCCTCCATCATTGGGGCAACCAAACCTCCTGCTTGCTCCAGTTCCGTGGCTGCCGGCCATCATCTCGGTTGGGTTAATTTGCATATAGTCGCTCTGATTGGCTTAAGGTGTAGGGAAGGTACGGTCAATTTGCATGTTTGTCTTTTATTAGTGTAGACTAGAGGCCCAGTGCACAAAATTCGTGCACTGGAGGGGTGTCCCTCAGCCCAGCCTGCACCCTCTCCAATCTGGGACATCCCTCTCATAATCCGGGACTGCTGGCTCCTAACTACTCGCCTGCCTGATTGCCCCTAACTGCTTCTGCCTGCCAGCCTGATCGCCCCCTAAGCACTTCCCTGCTGGCCTGATTGACACCCAACTGCCCTCCCCTGAAGGCCTGGTCCCCAGCAACTGCCCTCCCCTGCAGGCCTAGTCACTCCCAACTGCCCTCCCCTGCTGGCCATCTTGTGACAATGTGGGGGTGGTCATCTTGTGACAACATGGGGGGCAGCCATCTTGTGATGATGTGGGGGCAGTCATCTTGTGACAACATGGGGGCGGCCATCTTGTGATGACATGGGGGCAGCCATCTTGTGATGTGAGGGTGTGAGGGTCAATTTGCATATTACCTCTTTATTATATAGGCTAGATTGCCAGTGCGTATCATATGTACCGGCCGGTTGGTCTGTCGGACAGATGGTTGGTCGGTTACTTAGCCATATATATATATATATATATCTACCTACCTACATTTTAATATTAATCTACCTACCTACATTTTAATATTAATATACTAATGAGAGGTTTCTCAGGGTTAAAAAAGCTAACTTTAGTTTTTAGATAAGTTTTTTCCAGGTAAATTTAGAGACTTCAATTCTAGGCCAATGACCAATTGAGGTAGAGCTAATTTAAAAAAATCCAAAATACTAGGATATATACAATAAATTCTTAGCATAAATCCACCTAAAAAATGAGGATTACCAATGAGCTCGCCAATTGGCATTGGTGAAAATAATTTAAAATTTAGCAAAGAACATGGTACACTAGAATCAAGGGTTGAACTGCTGGAAAGATTTGTATCTTCCATAGAGCAGTGGAAGCCCCCATTAGGTAACATTCAGCATGATCTTTACCTTGGAATGTCAAAATTAAAATTCAGTAAATGAAGTATTGGAAAGTAACTTTTCAAACTTTCAAAAAATAAAAGTCATTGAACCTTCCTATAATTTAAATGTTTATTTTCCATTATTTGCATAAGTTTCTTAGAAACTAGACTGCTGTATTTATTCCCTTTTCTCCTAGATTAGAGCCCCAGCAAATGCCATAAAGCAGAAAAAGGACCATGTAGAATCAGTCCACTTTGTGATATTGATGCTTAATTGCTCTTGTTTATTTATCACTGTAGTAACTGCTTCCACAACATTCATAATTGTATAGCTTGATGAATATTCACAAAGCGAATATATATTCATGTAACTAATAAAGAACGATCTGGATCATTACCAGAAGCCAAGCCACCAACCCTCTTCAAAGTCCAACCCCCTCAAGGATAACCACTATCCTGCGTTCTAACACCATAAATTAGTTTTGCCTGTTGTCATTTTTTTATCATATATAAATGGAATCATACAATATGTCAGGGGTCCTCAAACTTTTTAAACAGGAGGCCAGTTCACTGTCCCTCAGACCGTTGGAGGGCCGGACTATAGTTTAAAAAAAAAACTATGAACAAATTCCTATGCACACTGCACATATCTTATTTTGAAGTAAAAAAAAAACAAAATGGGAACAAATACAATATTTGTATTTGCATGTGGCCCGCGGGCTGTAGTTTGAGGACCCCTGCAATATGTACTCAATATCTGGCTTCTTTTGCTCAACATTATGTTTGTAAGATTCATCTATATTGTTGAATATGGTTTACTTTGATGAATCATATTTAGAGAATAATTGGGCATTCTAGACCAAGTTTAGGAGCATAACCTTGGGGATCTGCAGTTACAATTCATCATTTTATTTTTAGAGCCATTCTATAGAAAAGGAAGAAAACTAATATTTATTGAGTACCTACTATGTTCCAGGTACATATACTTTCATTTACAACCCTTAATAATCTTATGAAGTATATATAATTGTTCTCATTTTATAAATAATTAACCTGAGATAAAGCAAGTTATCCTCGTACCCATAGATACAAATGAAAGAGCTAAAATTTGAATCTACATCTGTTGATTCTACCACTCCATAATATTTCCCATAGTCACAGAATTTTCTTTTACCTATTTTCCTAAACCAGTGAGCTTCATTAATCCTTGAGTCTGAAGTCGAGTCTTCTCCAACAAAAAATTGAGGAAATTTCAGGAGGGCTGCATCAAATAGGCAAATTTGATATTAATTAAGGTCTTTTACTCTAGCAAAGTTGTCAATCCAGTTTTAAAAACAGACGAATAAGAGTTTGAATTTACAAAAGTTGTGTTGTGTGTGTGTGTGTGTGTGTGTGTGTGTGCGCGCGCACATGGGTGCATATCAAAAGTAATTAAAATGATGAAAAGCATTACCAAGCTCCAAGAAGCAAGCTGTTAACTCAAACTTTGAGGAACAAACATGTCTTTGGAGAGATTTATAAATTAAATTAATGCAATCATTCACAACCTGAGGTAGAAATATATGATTTACATGTAAGGAAATAAAGAGTCAGAACAATCATTAAAAATACTGCAATGGAGATTGAGAACTGGAAGAGTATCGATAGGCTGGCATAATATTTATTGAGCTCCCACAGCAAGCACATTTCAGAACCAGAACATGATGTCACCAGAAAGCATTTACTACATACACACATGCCCTTCTGAGTGAAAAGGTTGCCAACCAGCAAAGTTATTCTTTTTTGAAAAGCTTTGGTTTCTAAACTACTTTGCTATATTTAACACCTGTTGTCAGGTATTTGAAGTATAACATTGAACTACTGCAATAAATAGAATAGAATTTCTAAGCTGTGGAGCTTTTGGTGTGTTTTGGATATAAGGAAATAGGTATGTGAGCAGTAGACATGGGAAGACCTGTTAGGCCAAAGGGAGATACCACGTAAGAAAGCATGAAGTTGGGATAGCTTGAATGAAGGGAACAGAGAGGAATTACTAGTAGATAGATGGATAGCTTCAAAATAACAGTAAACAATCGGAATTTGATTCAGAGGACATGAAAACAAGCAGGGTTCAGAACATTATTTGTCTTGATCCCTCTTCACCTTTTCAATTCAGGAAGGGAGGGAGGGAGGGAGAGAAGGAGGGAAAGAGAGGGAGGAAGGGAGAGAAGGAAGGAAATGTTTTTAAAACAAATTGGGATAGAAACAGAGCTGAAATCACATTTGCATATGGAAGTTAGGGATGACAAACTTCTCTCTGCTTGTGAATAAAGAATCCAAGGTAGATTGATGTGACAAATGTTAACAAAAGCAAATGTTAACTCAGACATGAAGTTTTAGTCAGTGTGCTCAAGGTAATTGGAAAATTTAATAGAGGATAAGGGCAAGAAGGCCTGAAAATGACCAAGGAGATATTTACCTGTATTCAAGCAAGTCAAAAGTCTATCCATTTCTTTCTTTCTAAAAAATAAAGAAAAGAATATTTTCCTACTATAGAAAAGTAACACAACGAGACCCTATTTGTGCCTGAGAGCTGTGCAAAACTGCAAAATTGGGAAGTTTGTTGTTCAAGGCTCCAACATGTCATTTCAACACTATTTTTCCCCACTATAGGATCCTGTTCCTCATCCCTAGTGCATTCATATTTTTCTCTCTTCCTCTTCTACACCTACACTCAACAAAGGATTTCAATGACTGATAAGGTTTTTATATTACAGGGCCATAGACTTTGAGAGTAGGTAGTGATCGCTCTGATTTTCAAGGTGTTTTTTTTTTTGTTTGTTTGAAGAGGAGAAATTAAAACCCTTGTTTCGAATAAAATTTTATAGAAGTCTAATATACAAGAAAAGATAAAAGTGTAGCTGCTCTGGTTGAACCAGTGGTGGATGGAGGCTTAGAGCCTCACCTTCCTGAAAGTCCCTGAGTCAGTGCCACAGAATTTCCAGGGTTCTGAGGAATATAGTTTAAAAAACACTTATCCCGTTCAGAGAAAACAGATCTGGAAATGGGGGGATGATGTGTCCAAGGTCATAAAAATAATGACAATGTCAAGACTACTACCCATGTCTCTTGACCCTTTGTCAAGCTTCTTTAAGGGATATACACATTTTAATAGAGGAAATCATTCTGTTTTACTTAAACAGAGGAATGAATATGAAAGTATTGGCAAACTCAAGTAAGGAAGGTTATAGGAATAGGGTAGAGCATATTATCAGACTGGCTATATCAGGAGAAGGTCTAGTATTATATCATAAATACTGTGCTTTGAGAAAAGTAGCAGCTTTCTCGGGGATAAATATCAGAATTCTAGTTTATATAAAGTAACTTCTTACAGTAAATTTTATTAATTTGAATTTGAGCTGAGCTAAAGTTACCTTATTCCCTATTTAATTCAGTGACTACATAAAATAATCTAGGAACTGTCCATTAATGAAAATAAATGATACAAATGATGAGGATGTGAAAAGGGGATATATGGTTTATTTAAGAGACAAAGTGCTTTTATAATTTTAGCACACAAATTTATTAATACTTAGGTAGATACTGCTCATTAAAAAACCATAGGATTGTTAGATGAGAAAGGAACTTTAGTAATTATCCAGTCTAGTTTAATTTAACAGGTGAAGAAAATAAAGCGTAGAAAAGTTAAATAAGTTGTTATTGCCTAAGGTCAACCAGAAGTTAGTGAAATAGTTGAAACTAGAATTCCATTCTGTCTCTTGCCACTGAATTAGGCTTTTGAAAAAAATTAGTCCAATCAATTTGTTAAATCAGGTCCTGATCTCTACCTGAAAACACTGCTAGCAAATGTTCTTTATTACTATATTTACTTGAAAACAATGTGTAGCCCTGAACTGTGCTCTCAGTGGTTAGAGCGCCAGTCTCGGGTTCAATTCCCAGTCAAGGGCACAAACCTAGTTTGCAGGTTCAATCCCTAGCCCATCGGGATGCGTGCGGGAAGCAACCAATCAATGTGTCTCTCTCACATATATATTTCCCTCTCTCTCTCCCTTTCCCTTTCTCTCTCTCTAAAAATCAATGGAAAAAAATATCCTTAGTGAGGATTAACACACACACACACACACACAAAGGAAAACAATAAGGGTATAAAGTATTCTTTAATCTAAGTAGGTTTTAATGAGTGGGGTTTGACTGTTATGTCACAATTACATGAGCTATGAAGCACTTGTAAGTCTAGTGATAAAAATCTTCTTTTAAAGAACAGCTATTCCATCATTTAAATAAATCGAGTGACTATTATGTGTCAAATACTATCTGAGGTTTCAGAGAATCAAGGAGTTCTTACAATCTAGTAACTATCAAAGTTTAGTTACTCAGTTTCCTTTTTTATTTTTTAACATTTTTATTGAATTTACTTGGGTGACATTGTTTAATAAAATTATATAGGTTTCAGGTATACCATTTTATAATACACCATCTGTATATTGTACTGTGTGTTCACCACCCCATGTCAAGTCTCCTTCCATCACCATTTATCCCTGCCTATACCCTCTTCTATCTCCCCTCACGCCCCTTTCCCTTGGGTAATCACCATACCGTTGTCTGTGTCTATGAGATTTTTTAATCCCTTCACCTTTTTCACCCAGCCCTCCAACCCACGACCCTTCTAACAGCTATCAGTCTGTTCTCTGTATATATGAGTGTTTCTATTTTATTTGTTTGTTTCTTTTGTTCATTTAACCTTTTATTGTAGAACATTTCAAAGATGTTTATATGTTAACAGGTAAGTGAATCCCCATGTATCCATCACTCAGCTTCAATAATTATGAACTCATCATTAATCAATTCAATGATACCCTCCACCAACTCCTTCCCCTACCATATTATTCTGAAGCAAATTCCAGATATCACATCATTTCATCCATAAATATTTTAGGATGTGTCTAAAAAAGACAAGGATTCTTTTAAGAAACATAACCACACTACCATTATATGCCTTAAAATTAATAAGTTCTTAATATCATCAAGTGTTTGGTGAATAATCAAATTTTCAATGATCTCAGTATATTTTTTGTGGTTTGAGTTCCCTACTCATGGATTCATAGAGCCTGTACCAGTAAAGAGGCAAAACTTATATTATCTCAGTCACAGATATTTCTCAAACAATTTAGCTGAAAAAATATATTGTCTCCAGGTACAAATATATAAAGAAAAAGTGAAGTAGAGATGCACAAAAAGCGGAGTTTTGTATGCGTAGAGAATGTAGACATGGGAATATTTCTCTGAAAGATATCACTAATCAAAGCCTTGAATAGAGTTTTCTTTCAAATCATTAGGAGGTAGTGAATTTTGTAAATGAAAAATATTGGTGACCCAATTCTTCCACAAACTGTTAAGTTTTTGATATCTTATGCCATAGAAACTATGAGCAGAAAGATATGTGAATACTGAGCTGAGCTGATACTGAATCAGAATCAACAAGCCAACCAGGTTATATGTTTCTGTGGGAAAGTAAGGGATATGTCTATATATAAGTGTCCTGTAAAGAAAGAAGGAAACAGATGCAATATCATAATGAAATCATAGCTAACATTGTTGAGGGTTTAGTAAGTGCCTAGCAGTCTTCTTCTAAGTGTTTTACATGTATTTACCCATCCAGTTATCACAGCAACCCCATAAAGTAGGTACTATTATTATTCCCATTGTACATATGGGGAAACAGAAGCTCAGGTCATACATCTATAAGTGGCAGAGCCAGGAGATAAAGCCAGGAAGACTGGCCCCAGAAGCTTATATTGATCTTACCCACTGTACTATACTTCTCTCAATATAAGGTTTATATTGAAAACTACTATAATTATTCTAATGGTGAATACATCATTTCTGTTGAAATAACTTACTTGTTTTCAGATTCTGGCATTTCAGAAACTTTTGGAACAAGAAGACGAAACAAACACCTGTATGATAAACATAAAAAGTGATGCTTAGGAAGAAACATGAAAAAGAATAAATACCAAGTTATTAGCCTTGATTACCCCAGGAGGCAGAAGTGAGAAAAGAGAGGGTAAGGAGGAGATTAATTCTTTTTTATTTATAGATCTTTGTATTGTTTTAATGGTTGTAATGAAAACATACCAATTTGTAATTTTGGAAGAGTAATTTAAATAAAAAATTTTGAAAAGTGATGCTTATGAAAAATTCTTAAATACTTCCACAGTTTATAGAATTACCCCAAATCATCTTCTAGAACATTAAGTATGGTATACAAGTCTTTATATTTTTCTTCCTATTAAGGAACCTGGAACTGGCCATTGGGTTCCACATAAATTGGAATGACTATTCTTTGAAGGGATCTGGTAGTATAATGACAAACCAACAAAATAAGGTCAATTTATAAAGTTTCAAAACCTAATTTTTTTAAAAAATACCATCTATCCTGAATGATTTCAGATATTTATCTGCCTGAAGGCATATAGGTATCTCAAGACTCCTTCTGATACTTTTATTTCTGTGATTCCTTTTCCTTTTGGAAGTGTGGCCTCAGGCAGAGTTGACCAACAGGAGAACCACTATAGAACCCTTTTGGTTTCAAATTTTTCCCACTGACATATTCTTAGTCACATCATTAGGAGTTACCATGTCCTAACCTCAATTTCCTCTGCCTCACTATTGTATGTAAAAGTTCCCTTTTGATAAACCATTTTTTCATCATAAAAAGAGAGAAGGGAGAAAATCAGGTTCAACTGATATCTTTTTTTTTACTTTAACATCCCTATCAAATATCCAATGGCACTTTATACAGAAATAGAAAACAAATCCTAAAATTTTTATGGAACCACAAAAGATCCTGAATAGCCAAAGCAATCTTGAGAAAGAGCAAAGTTAAAGGGCTCACACATCCTGACTTCAAATTATACTACGAAGCTATAGTAATCAAAACAGTATGGTACTGGCATAAAAATAGTCATATATAACAATGTAATAAAATAGGGAGCCCAGAAATAAGCCCATGTATATACAATCAAGTAATACTGGTCAAGGGAGCAAAGAATACAAAATAGAGAAAAGAGGTTTTTCAGTAAATGATGTTGGGAAAACTGGGTATTCATATGCAAAAGAATGAAACTGAACCCCATATCTTGTATTACTAATAAAAAATTAACCTGAAATGAATTAAAGACTTAAATATAAGACCTGAAACCACAAAACTCTTAGAAGAAAACACAGGGAAAGAGTTCCTTGACAATGATTTTTTTATATGACACCCAAAGCATAAACAACAAAAGCAAAAATAAATAAGTGGGACTTCTTCAAACTAAAAAGCTTCTGTACAGCAAAAAAGGAGAAAAAAAAACTATCAACAAAATGAGAAGCTTCGAAAAAAAATACGGGGAAACCAAGATGGCGGCATTCGTAAACACCGGAGTTTGCTGCCTCGAACAACCACTTCAAAAATACAACTAAAAGACGGAAAGGACATCATCTAGAACCACAGGAAGGCTGGCTGAGTGGAAATTCTACAACTAGAAGGAAAGAGAAAAGCACACTGAGACTCAGAGGAGGTGCAATGCGGAAGTAAAATACTAAGGTACAGAGGCACATGCGGAGCGGGCTGGCGGCTAAGGGCCCAGTTGTCGTTTTCAATCGGGAGGGAGTCTCAGGCTCTGAGCTCCAGTTCCGGGCGAGTCTCTGGGGACCCCGACTCACACGGGAGAAGCGGGACTGTCTGGCATCGGTCGGAACTCGAGGGCAGCTTTCTCTCGGAGGTGCTTGCAGCGATTACCGGGACACTGAGAAGCAGAGCCTCTGAGGGCAAGACTGAGAGCAACCATAACTACTAGCCCTGCCCTGTTGATCCCGTGGGCCCTGCCCCGCCCAAGCCCTGCAGGGAGGCTTTTGCTGGATAGCCTAAGGCAGAGGCTAGATTAGCACCTCCCTAGAGATCCAGGAGCCAGTGTACCAAGAGGTCAGAGTGGGACCATCCAGTTTGCAGCTCCGTGGAACCACAAAGGACACACTCAGGGGGCAGACTCAGTGAGCACCAAAGCCCCATTGAAGCAAGTCTTGCCCAGGAGGGGTGTTTCCAGCACAGACGATTTCCCACTGCAGACACAGCTGATTCTCACAGCCAATTGGCCTGGAGGTCAATTCCTCCCAGTGATACCTACAACAATCAAGGCTTAACTACAACAAGACTGTGCACAAAGACCACAAGGGGGTGCACCAAGAGTGTCCTCCTCGGGTAATTGGGGAGGCTGAACCACTGGGCCCTAGAGGACACTTAGCACAGAAAACCACAGTATCAACACAGGGAAGCATAAAAAATGCGGAGACAAAGAAAAAAGACACAAATGACAGAAATGGAGGAAAGCAAACTACTGGATATAGAGTTCAAAACCACACTTTTAAGGTTTTTCAAGAATTTTCTAGAAACTGCCGATAAACTTAATGAGACCTACAAGAAATCTAATGAGACCCTCGAGGTTGTGATAAAGGACCAACTAGAAATTAAGCATACACTGACTGAAATAAAGAATATTATACAGAATCCCAACAGCAGACTAGAGGACTGCAAGAATCAAGTAAGAAATAGACTTACAAGTCCAGGAAGCGCAGAGAACCCCAAACAAAAGGAATCCAAAGAGGACCACACCAAGACACATCATAATTAAAATGCCAAGAGCAAAAGACAAAGAGAGAATCTTAAAAGCAGCAAGAGAAAGAAAGTTAGTTACCTACAAGGGAGTACCCATACGACTGTCAGCTGATTTCTCAACAGAAACTTTGCAGGCCAGAAGGGAGTGGCAAGAAATATTCAAAGTGATGAATGCCAAGAACCTACAACCAAGATTACTTTATCCAGCAAAGCTATCATTCAGAAGTGAAGGTCAGATAAAGAGCTTCACAGATAAGGAAAAGCTAAAGGAGTTCATCACCACCAAACCAGTATTATATGAAATGCTGAAAGGCATCCTTTAAGAAGAGGAAGAAGAAGAAAAAGGTAAAGAGGGGGATGCGGGAAGAACTGGACAAAAATCATGCACCTATGGATGAGGACAGTGGTGGGATGAGGGAGGAGGGTGGGGTGGGAACTGAGTGGAGGGGAGTTATGGGGGGAAAAAGAGGAACAACTGTAATAATGTGAACAATAAAGATTTAATTAATCAAAAAAAAATGAAAAGCTTCACCAGTGTTTCTCAGTGGTTGAGCATCAACCTATGAACAAGGAAGTCAGGGTTTGATTTCCGGTCAGGGCACATGCCTGGGTTGTGGGCTCTTTCCCCAGTAGGGTGTGTGCAGGAGGCAGCCAGTCAATGATTCTCTCTCATCATTGATGTTTCTAACTCTCTCCCTCTCATTTCCTCTCTGAAATCAATAAAAATATTTAAAAAATAACAAAATGAAAAGGCAACCTACAGAATGGAAAAAATATTTTCAAACTATATATAATAAAGAGGTAATATGCAAATTGACCATCATGCTTTCTCACAAGATGGCCACCCCCATGTGGTCACAAGATGGCCACCAGAAGATGGCTGGCAGGGGAGGGCAGTTGGGGGCGACCTGGTTGGCAGGGGAGGGCAGTTAGAAGTGACTGGGCCAGCAGGGGAGGGCAGTTGGGGGCATCCGGGCTGGCAGGGAAGGGCAGTGGGGCGACCGGGCCAGCAGGGGAGGGCAGTTGGGGGCGATTGGGCTGGCAGGGGAGGACAGTTGGGGGCGACTGGGCCAGCAGGAGAGGGCAGTTGGGGGCAACCAGGCCAGCAGGGGAGGGAGGGCAGTTGGGGGCAACCGGTCCTGCAGGGAATGGAGGGCAGTTGGAGGGGTGCCAGACCTTCAGGGGAGGGCAGTTAGGGGTGACCAGGCTGGGAGGGGAGGGCAGTTGGGGGTGACCAGACCAGCAGGAGAGGGCAGTTGGGGCAACCAGGCTGGCAGGGGAGGGCAGTTGGGGGTGACCGGTCCTGCACGGGAGGTAGGGCAGTTGGGGGGGACCAGGCTTGCAGGGGATAGCAGTTAGGGGCAACCAGGCCAGCAAGGAAGGGCAGTTAGAGGTAACCAGGCCAGCAGGGGAGGCCCGTTGGTGGGGACCAGGCCTGCAGGGGAGGGCAGTTAGGGGCAACCAGGCTGGCAGGGGAGGGCAGTTGGGGGCGACCGGGCCAGCAGGGGAGCAGTTAGGTGTCAATCAGGCTGGCAGAGGAGTGGTTAGGGGGCAATCAGGCAGGCAGGCAGGTGAGCGGTTGGGAGCCAGCAGTCCCGGATTGTGAGAGGGATGTCTGACTGCCCTAAACCGGCAGTAGGACATACCCTGAGGGGTCCCAGATTGGAGAGGGTGCA